TACAAAAGCTGTCTGTGACCAGGCGAAAAAACCTTTCCAAGCCAAACCTTCATATCATAACCGCTAACCTCTAAGTACAGCCTACATTGTTGTCACCATATTAACGTCATAGTCAACATAGCTACTAGAACTAAAGCATAGTAGACCCGTTACAATCATGCAGTACAGTGTACAGCAAGCAGTTTAGCCGTTACACCGGGCGGGCCCCACCGGCAATAAATTAATACAACCAAAAGCTTACCTTGACTAGGAAGATTTCCAGTGTTGGATAGCCAGCCAGCTAGTTAACATACACTACATGACCATAAGTATGTGGACACCTGCTCGTCGAACATCTTACTCCAAAATCATGGGCATTAATATGGAGTTGTTCCCCCCTTTGCTCCTATAACAGCATCAACTCTTCTGGGAAGGCTTTCCACTAGATGTTGGAACATTGCTGTGGGGACTTGCCACAAGAGCATTAGTGAGGTCGGGCACTGATGTTGGGCGATTAGGCCTGGCTCGCAGTCGGCATTCCAATTCATCCCAAAGGCGTTCGATGGGGTTGAGGTCAGGGTTCTGCGCAGGCCAGTCAAGTTCTTCCACACCGATCTCGACCAACCATTTCTGTATGGACCTCACGTTGTGCACGGGGGCATTGTCATGCTGAAACAGGAAAGGGACTTCCCCAAACTGTTGCCACAAAGTTGGAAGCACAGAATCGTCTAGAATGTCATTGTGTGATGTTAAGATTGTTGCTCTATGGAGATTGCATGGCTGTGTGCTCGATATTATACAGCTGTCAGCAACGGGTGTGGCTGATATAGCCGAACGCACTAATTTGAAGGAGTGTCCACATACTTAGCGTCCCTCTCTGTTTGAACCGGGTGTTTGAGTAGGCTAAACTAGCTAGCTGCATTAGCTAGCTGTAAGTTAATTTTTTTATATATTTTTTACCTACGAAATCTCTCTCTCTCCTCCTTCATATTTGAAAAAATGTATTTGTTCAAAACTGTTCAACTATTGTCTTTCTCTCTCTTCGAGTCAACCACTCACCGCATTTTATGCACTGCTGTGCTAGCTAGTTGTAGCTTATGCTTTCAGTACTAGATGTATACTCTGATCCTTTGATTGGGAGGACAACTTGTCAGTTCATGCTGCAAGAGCTCTGATATGTTGCAGTAGACCTCGAATAAATGAAATCAAATGAAATCAAATGTTATTTGTCACATGCACCGAATACAACAGGTGTAGACCTTACAGTGAAATGCTTACTTACAAGCCATTAACCAACAATGCAGTTTTAAGAAAAATAAGTGTTAAGTAAAAAAGAGAGAGGTAAAAAATAGACAAAAAATACGAAAAATAGAAACATAACTAATAATTAAAGAGCAGCAGTAAAATAACAGTAGCGAGGTTATATACAGGGAGTACCGGTTCGGAGTCAGTGTCAATGTGCGGGGGGTACAGGTTAGTCGAGGTAATTGATGTAATATGTACATGTAGGTAGAGGTAAAGTGACTATGCATAGATTATAAACAGAGAGTAGCAGCAGTGTAAAAGAGGGGGTGGGGGATTATTTCACTATTTTTATTTTTATGAAATTCACTGAGAAAGATGGTCCTCCCTTCCTCCGCTGAGGAGCTGTTAGAGATACATGTCAGTGCCAGAGTCTAGTGTAGCAGGCTAAGCTCCTGACTCCAGACTACACATGGCCCCTTGGTGATGGGGTTTTAGTCCTGGCTCGGCCGTCTGTCTGTCTGTGCCCCTACATCCTTTCTGTCACTCTCTATGTCTATGTGATGGAGACTCCAGAAAAGGAGTTCTTAAACTACCCCATCCTGATCAGACCAGTCACCTCCGATTCACTTACACACACACACACACACACACACACACACACACACACACACACACACACACACACACACACACACACACACACCTATCAAGGTAGACTGCAGGTGTATTGCTGGAGTGAGAAGGAGAGCCAACAGCAACACCATCGTAGCAGCAGAACAGTAAATGAATGGTCCAATATGCAAACGTGAAAGGAAGGAGATTATACATTTCTTTGTGGCTTTTCCAGATAACCTTGTTTTCTTCCTTCCTTCTCTTCCTGGTATGGCAGTTCCCTGTGCATCTTGGTTACTACACACTGGTCACAGATGTCAATTGAACGTCTATTCCACGCAGTGGTGTAAAGTACTTAAGTAAAAATACTTTAAAGTACTACTTAAGTAGTTTTTTTGGGTATCAGTACTTTACTTTACTATTAATATTTTGATTACTTTTACTTTTACTTCACTACATTCCTAAAGATAATAATGTACTTTTTTACTCCATACATTTTCCCTGACACCCAAAAGTACATTTATTACAGGAAAATAGTCAAATTCACACACTTATCAAGAGAACATCCCTGGTCATCCCTACTGCCTGTGATCTGGCGGACTCACTAAACACAAATGCTTCATTTGTAAATTATGTCTGAGTGTTGGAGTGTGCCCCTGGCTATCCGTCAATAAAAATTAAAATAAAAAATATTGTGCCACCTGGTTTGCTTAAAATAAGGAATTTTAAATGGTTTATACTTTTACTTTTGATACTTAAGTACATTTTAGCAATTCAATTTACTTTTAATACTTAAGTATATTTAAAAACAAACTTTTACTCAAGTAGTATTTTACTGGGTGACTTTCACTTTTACTTGAATCATTTTCTATTAAGGTATCTTTACTTTTACTCAAGTATAACAATTGAGTACTTTTTCCACTACTGATTCCACGTTGGTTCAGCATAACTTTATTGAAATTATGTGGAAACAGAGTTGATTCAACCAGTGTGTGCCCAGTGGGTGTCACACATAACAACCCCAGACTGACTGGACGGCTCTCAAGTTGAGACAGTGGTAGACCATGGAGATGTCTGGGGACATTGTTTATGCCAATGAAGATGTTAGGGGAAAACAAAATTTTTCAGGGGACCAGTTTTATAATGGAGTAGACCACATCTATGCTAAGATGTCCGGGTTTGGCCGGTGTAGGCCGTCATTGTAAATAAGAATTTGTTCTTAACTGACTTGCCTAGTTAAATTACAAATACAAATACAAAAGGCTCCTGAACAGCTTCTACCCCCAATATATAAGACTGCTGAACAGATAATCAAATGGCTACTCGGACCATTTGCATTTTATCCCCACCAACATGTACACTACCAGTCAGAAGTTTGGACACACCTATTAATTCAAGGGTTTTTCTTTATTTTCACTATTTTTTACATTGTAGAATACTAGTGAAGACATCAACACTGTGAAATAACACATATGGAATCACATATGGAATCACATATGGAATCCCCCGACCTCAACCCAATTGAGATTGTTTGGGATGAGACGGACTGCAGAGTGAAGGAAAAGCAGCCAACAAGTGCTCAGCATATGTGGGAACTCCTTCAAGACTGTTGGAAAAGCATTCCAGGTGAAGCTGGTTGAGAGAATGCCAAGAGTGTGCAAAGCTGTCATAAAAGCAAAGGGTGGCTCTTTGAAGAATCTCACATTTCATTTGTTTAATGATTCCATATGTGCTATTTCATAGTTTTGATGTCTTCACTACTATTCTACAATGTAGAATATTGTCAAAATATAGAAAGACCCTTGAATGAGTAGGTGTGTCCAAACTTTTGACTGGTACTGTTCATATGACCTTATTCACCTCACCTACCTCGTACCCCAGTACATTGATTAGGTACCGGTACTCCTTGTATATAGCCTTGTTGTTGTTATTTTATTGTGTTACTATTTCCTTTTTTTATTTGCTACTTTTCTTACTTTTTAACTGCGTTGTTGGGAAAGGGCTTGTAAGTAACTATTTCACAGTAAAGTCTACACCTGTTGTTCTCCTACTGGCTGGGATCATAAGACTGTACCTCTAAATCAAATAAAATAAAATTTGATTGGTCACATACATGTGTTTAGCATATGTTATTGTGGGTGTAGCGAATTGCTTGTGTTTCTAGCTCTGACAGTGCAGTAATATCTAACAAGTAATATCTAACAATTTCACAACATGTACCCAATACATACCAATCTAAGTAAAGGAATGGATTTAAGAATATATAAATATATGGACGAGCAATGTTAGAGTGGCATAGACAAGATACAGTAGAATAGTTTAGAATACAGTATATACATATGAGATGAGTAATGCAAGATATGTAAACATTATTAAAGTGACTAGTGTTCCATTTATTAAAGTGGCCAGTGATTTCTAGTCTATGTCTATAGGCAACAGCCCCTAATGTGCTAGTGATGGTTGTTTAGCAGTCTGATGGCCTTGAGATAGAAGCTGTTTTTCAGTCTCTCGGTCCCAACTTTGATGCACCTGTACTGACCTCACCTTCTGGATGGTAGCGGGGTGAACAGGCAGTGACTCTGGTGGTTGTTGTCCTTGATTAACTTTTTGGCCTTCCTGTGACATCGGGTGCTGTAGGTGTCCTGGAGGGCAGGTAGTTTGCCCCCGGTAATGCGTTGGGCAGACCGCACTACCATCTGGAGAGCCCTGCGGCTGCTGTGAGTTCATGTGTTACTGGCTGGGGATCAAAGGACTGTACCTCTACTGTGAGTTCATTTATGTAAATTTATTATCATCAAGTTAGAAATGTTGACTATTAATTTCCTGGTCTTGTAATCAGTAACTTTTGGATGTTTTGAGCCTTTGCAGATGACAGAGCAAATATTGTGCAGGACATCACTGGAGCGAGGAGGAGAGCCATTAGCAACACCATCGAGGCAACAGAAAAGTAAATGAATGGTCCAATATGAAAATGTGAAAGGAAATGGAGGATGAATTTGTTTGTGGCTTTTCCAGATGACCTTGTTTTGTTCCTTCCTCCGCCTCCTGGTTCATTGAAATGACGTGGAACCAACGTTGATACAACAAGTGTGTGCCCAGTTGGTATCACATATAGTAAGCCCCAGACTGACTGAACGTCTCTCTAGTTGAGACGGTGGTAGAGCATGGAGATGTCTGAGGACTTTGTTTATGCCAATGAAGACGTTAAGGGAAAACAAAGTGTTTCAGGGGACCAGTTTTATAATGGAGGAGACCACATCCATGAAGACAACATCTATGAAAATCCAGACACCATTGAGTTTCCTGACTTGAAAAACATGACTGAGGATGTTACCCCAAGGAGCAGACCAGGAGCTGAACACTCAGGTAACGTCCAAATACATGTACACAAGCATGCACGCACGCACAAAGGCACACACACACACACACACACACGCGCACACACACACACACACACACACACACACACACACACACACCTCCTTTATGTGTCCACAGAGGCTGAGCAACAAAAGAGATCTTTAAGAGCTGCTGCAGTGTGTCTGGGGCTGCTGAGTGTTCTACTACTGGCTGGGATCATAGGACTGTACATCTACTGTGAGTTCATATATTAATGGCTGGGATCATAGGACTGTACCTCTACTGTGAGTTCATATGTTACGGGCTGGGATCATAGGACTGTACCTCTACTGTGAGTTCATATATTAATGGCTGGGATCATAGGACTGTACCTCTACTGTGAGTTAATTTGTTACTGGCTGGGATCATAGGACTGTACCTCTACTGAGAGTTCATACACTACCAGTCAAAAGTTTTTCTTTATTTTTTATATTTTTTATATTGTAGAATAATAGTGAAAACATACAAACGATGAAATAACACATATGGAATCATGTAGTAACCAAAAAAGTGTTAAACAAATCAATATATATTTTATATTTGAGATTCTTCAAATAGCCACCCTTTGCCTTGATGACAGCTTTGCAAACTCTTGGCATTCTCTCAACCAGCTTCATGAGGTAGTCACCTGGAATGCATTTCAATTAACAGGTGTGCCTTGTTAAAAGTTAATTTGTGGAATTTCTTTCCTTCTTAATGCGTTTGAGCCAATTGGTTGTGTTGTGACAAGGTAGGGGGGGTATACAGAAGAGAGCCCTATTGGGTAAAAGACCAAGTCCATATTACGGCAAGAACAGCTCAAATAAGTAAAGAGAAACGACAGTACATCATTTCTTTAAGACATGAAGGTCAGTCAATCCGGAAAATGTCAAGAACTTTGAATGTTTCTTCAAGTGCAGTCGCAAAAACCATCAAGCGCTATGATGAAACTGGCTCTCATGAGGACCGCGACAGGAATGGAAGACCCAGAGTTACCTCTGCTACGTAAAAATGTATGCACACATGACTGTAAGTCACTTTGGATAAAAGCGTCTGCTAAATGGCATATTATTTTATATTATATTTAGGATAAGTTCATTGGCGTTACCAGCCTCAGAAATTGCAGCCCAAATAAATGCTTCACAGAGTTCAAGTCACAGACACATCTCAACATCAACTGTTCAGAGGGGACTGTGTGAATCAGGCCTTCATGGTCGAATTGCTGCAAAGAAACCACTACTAAAGGACACCAATAAGAAGAAGAGACTTGCTTGGGCCAAGAAACACGAGCAATGGACATTAGAACGGTGGAAATTTGTCCTTTGGTCTGGAGTCCTAATTTGAGATTTTTGGTTACAACTGCCGTGTCCTTGTGAGACGCGGTGTGGGTGAACGGATGATCTCAGCATGTGCAGTTCCCACCGTAAATTATGGAGGAGGAGGTGTTATGGTGTGGGGGTGCTTTGTTGGTGACACTGTCTGTGATTTATTTAGAATTCAAGGCACACTAAACCAGCATGGCTACCACAGCATTCTATAGCGATACGCCTTCCCATCTTGTTTGGGCTTAGTGGGATTATCATTTGTTTTTCAACAGGACAATGACACAACACACCTCCAGGCTGTGTAAGGGCTATTTTACCATTTTTTACATACATTTTAGTCATTTAGCAGACGCTCTTAACCAGAGCGACTTACAGGAGCAATTAGGGTTAAGTGCCTTGCTCAAGGGCACATTAACGTCATTTAGCAGACGCTCTTAGCCAGAGCGACTCACAAATTGGTGCGTTCACCCTATAGCCAGTGGGATAACCACTTTACAATTTGGGGGGGGGGGGGGGGGGGGGGTTAGAAGGAATACTTTAGCCTATCCCAGGTATTCCTTAAAGAGGTGGGGTTTCAAATGTCTCCGGAAGGTGGTGAGTGACTCCGCTGTCCTGGCGTCGTGAGGGAGCTTGTTCCACCATTGGGGTGCCAGAGCAGCGAACAGTTTTGACTGGGCTGAGGGGGAGCTGTGCTTCCGCAGAGGAAGGGGAGCCAGCAGGCCAGAGGTGGATGAACGCAATGTCCTCGTTTGGGTGTAGGGACTGATCAGAGCCTGAAGGTACAGGGGTGCCGTTCCCCTCACTGCTCCAAAGGCAAGCACCATGGTCTTGTAGCGGATGCGAGCTTCAATTGGAAGCCAGTGGAGTGTGCGGAGGAGGGGGGGTGACGTGAGAGAACTTGGGAAGGTTGAACACCAGACGGGCTGCGGCATTCTGGATGAGTTGTAGGGGTTTAATGGCACAGGCAGGGAGCCCAGCCAACAGCGAGTTGCAGTAGTCCAGACGGGAGATGACAAGTGCCTGGACCAGGACCTGCGCCGCTTCCTGTGTAAGGCAGGGTCGCACTCTCCGAATGTTGTAGAGCATGAACCTGCAGGAGCGGGTCACCGCCTTGATGTTGGCGGAGAACGACAGGGTGTTGTCCAGGGTCACGCCTAGGCTCTTCGCACTCTGGGAGGAGGACACAGCGGAGTTGTCTACCGTGATGGCGAGATCATGGAACGGGCAGTCCTTCCCGGGGAGGAAGAGCAGCTCCGTCTTGCCAGGGTTCAGCTTGAGGTGGTGATCCGTCATCCATACTGATATGTCTGCCAGACATGCAGAGATGCGATTCGCCACCTGGTGATCAGAAGGGGGAAAGGAGAAGATTAGTTGTGTATCGTCAGCGTAGCAATGATAGGAAAGGCCATGTGAGGATATGACAGAGCCAAGTGACTTGGTGTATAGGGAGAAAAGGAGAGGGCCCAAAACCGATCCCTGGGGGACACCAGTGGTGAGAGCACGTGGTGCGGAGACAGCTTCCCGCCACGCCACTTGGTAGGAGCGACCGGTCAGGTAGGACGCAATCCAGGAGTGAGCCGCGCCGGAGATGCCCATTTCGGAGAGGGTGGAGAGGAGGATCTGATGGTTCACAGTATCAAAGGCAGCAGACAGATCTAGAAGGACAAGAGCAGAGGAGAGAGAGTTAGCTTTAGCAGTGCGGAGAGTCTCTGTGACACAGAGAAGAGCAGTCTCAGTTGAATGACCAGTCCTGAAACCTGATTGGTTTGGATCAAGAAGGTCATTCTGAGAGAGATAGCAAGAGAGTTGGCTAAAGACGGCACGCTCAATAGTTTTGGAAAGAAAAGAAAGAAGGGATACTGGTCTGTAGTTGTTGACATCAGTGGGGTCGAGTGTTGGTTTTTTGAGAAGGGGAGTAACTCTCGCTCTCTTGAAGACGGAAGGGACATGGCCAGCGGTCAAGGATGAGTTGATCAGCGAGGTGAGGTAGGGGAGAAGGTCACCGGAGATGGTCTGGAGAAGGGAGGAGGGGATGGGGTCAAGCGGGCAGGTTGTTGGGCGGCCTGCAGTCACAAGTCGCAGGATCTTATCTGGAGAGAGAGGGGAGAAAGAAGTCAAAGCATAGGGTAGGGCAGTGTGAGCAGGACCAGCAGTGTCATTAGGCTTAACAAACAAGGATCGGATGTCGTCAACCTTCTTTTCAAAGTGGTTGACGAAGTCATCCACAGAGAGAGAGGAGGGGGGGGAGGGGGGGGGGGAGGATTCAGGAGGGAGGAAAATGTGGCAAAGAGCTTCCTAGGGTTAGAGGCAGATGCTTGGAATTTAGAGTGGTAGAAGGTGGCCTTAGCAGCAGAAACAGATGAAGAAAATGTAGAGAGGAGGGAGTGAAAAGATGCCAGGTCGGCAGGGAATTTAGTTTTCTTCCATTTCCGCTCCGCTGCCCGGAGCTCTGTTCTGTGAGCTCGCAATGAGTCATCAAGCCACGGAGCTGGAGGGGAGGACCGAGCCGGCCGTGAGGATAGGGGACACAGAGAGTCAAAGGATGCAGAAAGGGAGGAGAGGAGGGTTGAGGAGGCAGAATCAGGAGATTGGAGGGAGAAGGATTGAGCAGAGGGAAGAGATGATAGGATGGAAGAGGAGAGAGTAGTGGGAGAGAGAGAGAGAAGGTTGCGGCGGCGCATTACCATCTGTGTAGGGGCAGAGTGAGTAGTGTGGGAGGAGAGTGAGAGAGAAAAGGAAACAAAGTAGTGGTCGGAGACTTGGAGGGGAGTTGCAGTGAGATTAGTAGAGGAGCAGCATCTAGTGAAGATGAGGTCAAGCGTATTGCCTGCCTTGTGAGTAGGGGGGGACGGTGAGAGGGTGAGGTCAAAAGAGGAGAGGAGTGGAAAGAAGGAGGCAGAGAGAAATGAGTCAAATGTGGACATAGGGAGGTTGAAATCCCCCAAAACTGTGAGGGGTGAGCCATCCTCAGGGAAGGAACTTATCAAGGCGTCAAGCTCATTGATGAACTCTCCAAGGGAACCTGGAGGGCGATAGATGACAAGGATATTAAGCTTAAATGGGCTAGTGACTGTGACAGCATGGAATTCAAATGAGGAGATAGACAGATGGGTTAGGGGAAAAATTGAGAATGTCCACTTGGGAGAGATGAGGATTCCTGTACCACCACCCCTCTGACCAGATGCTCTCGGGGTATGCGAGAACACATGGTCAGACGAGGAGAGAGCAGTAGGAGTAGCGGTGTTTTCAGTGGTGATCCATGTTTCCGTCAGCGCCAGGAAGTCGAGGGACTGGAGGTTGGCATAGGCTGGGATGAAGTCAGCTTTGTTGGCAGCAGAACGGCAGTTCCAGAGGCTGCCTGCGACCTGGAACTCCACGTGGGTGGTGCGTGCAGGGACCACCAAATTGGAGAGGCAGCAGCCACGCGGTGTGGTGCGTTTGTGTAGCCTGTGCAGAGAGGAGAGAACAGGGATAGGCAGAGGCATAGTTGACAGGCTGTAGCAAATGGCTACAAAAATGCAGAGGAGATCGGAATGAAATGGGCTAAGCATCTGGGAGTGGAGAGAGCAGGGCCTCCCTCACCAAATCTTCTAGCTCGGAAACTAAAATTGTTTCACTGAACCACCCGAACAAAAACTCTCCCAACTTCCGCCTTTGGAAATCAGAATTGTTGTGAACCACAGCGGTTCAATGTTTAAAGGAGTAGACTCAACCCACTTTGTTCAGCTAGCCTACTATGACTCCATAGCCAACTAGCAGACTAGCATCCAATAACAATAACACACCGTTTAGCGCCAACACTTGGTCACAACAAACCACCAATATTGTGATATCACACTAAACAGATCATTCGTGTCTGTGTCAAGTTCCTTATATGACGCAGCAATGATTAGACGTTGGCTAGCTAGGACAAGTAAATTGTGGTTAGCTACTACAGTACAGCCAAATGGTCATGTTGGGTAGCTAGCAATGGCCACTGTGTCGACTCTGTTTGAAGAACGGCTAGCTAGCTAGCTTCGTGCTACAGCTGGCACGGCCGAGGACACTGCCAAGACACAGTAACTACCCACAACAACCCACGAAGCCTAGCTATGACGCCGTAGCCAACCTGCAAGCTAGCATCCATTAACACACAACTTAGCATCAACACCTGGCCACAACAAACTGCCAAGAGTGTGTCAGCACACCAAACAGACAATTCAAGTCCGTGTCGAGTTCCCTTCACAACGCAGCAAAAAAAAAAAAAAATAATAATAATAATAATAATAATTAAACGTTGGAACCAGCTCTCCAGCGTTGCTAATCGTTACCAATAGCTACCCGCTAGCTAGCTAGCCTCGTGCCTCGATACTAGTCCACAATTACCTATGGAAAGCTACTACAACCACAATACTAACCTACAATAAATTCAATACCTAACTACAGCTAGCTACCTACCTACGATCTAATACATGGTTAAGCAAAAGTTAAACGTTGGGTAGGAGTACATTACCGTTGGAACCAGCTCTCCAGCGTTGCTAATCGTTACCAATAGCTACCCGCTAGCTAGCTAGCCTCATGCCTCGAAACTAACCCACAAATTACCCACGGAAAGCTACAATAACAACAATAATACTAACCTACAATAAATACAATACCTAACTACAGCTAACTACCTACCTACGATCTAATACATGGTTAAGCTTTACTCAACACTACATGTAGCTTACCCCTACTTACCTACTTACCTACTTACCTCCAGCCAGAGAAAAACGAAGGAGAGTGAAGGAGAGTGATGGAGTGCTGCATCAGATGACCTGGCCTCCACAATCCCTCTACCTCAACCCAATTGAGATGGTTTGAGATGAGTCGGAGTGAAGGAAAAGCAGCCAACAAGTGCTCAGCATATGTGGGAACTCCATCAAGACTGTTGGAAAAGCATTCGAGGTGGAGTTGGTTGAGAGAATGCCAAGAGTGTGCAAAACAATCATCAAGGCAAAGGGTGGCTATTTGAAGAATCTCTAATATAAAATACATTTTGATTTGTTTAACACTTTTTTGGTTACTACATGATTCCATATGTGTTATTTCATAGTTTATACAGTATTTCATGTAGAAAATAGTAAAAATAAAGAAAAACCCTTGAATGAGTAGGTGTGTCCAAACATTTGACTGGTACTGTATGTTAATTGCTTATCATCTTGTTATACGTTTTGGCTATTAATAACCATTTTTTTTTACTGAGTAACTTTTGGATGTTTTGATCCTTTGCAGATGACAGAGCATGTAACAACCTGACTGAGGAAAGATACCAGTTACATACCAGTTACAACAATCTGACTGCAGAGAGAGACCAGTTAAAGACCAGTTACAACAATATGACTGCAGAGAGAGACCAGTTACAGACCAGTTACAACAATCTGACTGCAGAGAGAGACCAGTTACAGACCAGTTACAACAATCTGACTAAAGAGAGATACCAATTACAGACCAGTTACAACAATCTGACTGCAGAGAGAGACCAGTTACAGACCAGTTACAACAATCTGACTGAAGAGAGATACCAGTTACAGACCAGTTACAACAATCTGACTAAAGAGAGATACCAGTTACATACCAGTTACAACTATCTGACTGCAGAAAGAGACCAGTTAAAGACCAGTTACAACAATCTGACTGCAGAGAGAGACCAGTTACAGACCAATTACAACAATCTGACTGCAGAGAGAGACCAGTTACAGACCAGTTACAACAATCTGACTGCAGAGAGAGACCAGTTACATACCAGTTACAACAATCTGACTGCAGAGAGAGACCAGTTAAAGACCAATTACAACAATCTGACTGCAGAGAGAGACCAGTTACAGACCAGTTACAACAATCTGACTGCAGAGAGAGACCAGTTACAGACCAGTTACAACAATCTGACTGCAGAGAGAGACCAGTTAAAGACCAGTTACAACAATCTGACTGCAGAGAGAGACCAGTTAAAGACCAATTACAACATTCTGACTGCAGAGAGAGACCAGTTACAGACCAGTTACAAAAATCTGACTAAAGAGAGATACCAGTTACAGACCAGTTACAACAATCTGACTGCAGAGAGACACCAGTTACAGACCAGTTACAACAATCTGACTGAAGAGAGAGACCAGTTACAGACCAGTTACAACAATCTGACTGCAGAGAGAGACCAGTTACAGACCAGATACAACAATCTGACTGCAGAGAGATACCAGTTACAGACCAGTTACTACAATCTGACTGCAGAGAGAGACCAGTTACAGACCAGTTACAACAATCTGACTAAAGAGAGATACCAGTTACAGACCAGTTACAACAATCTGACTGCAGAGAGAGACCAGTTAAAGACCAGTTACAACAATCTGACTGCAGAGAGAGACCAGTTACAGACCAGTTACAACAATCTGACTAAAGAGAGATACCAGTTACATACCAGTTACAACAATCTGACTGCAGAGAGAGACCAGTTACAGACCAGTTACAACAATCTGACTGCAGAGAGAGACCAGTTAAAGACCAGTTACAACAATCTGACTGCAGAGAGAGACCAGTTACAGACCAGTTACAACAATCTGACTAAAGAGAGATACCAGTTACAGACCAGGTACAACAATCTGACTGCAGAGAGAGACCAGTTAAAGACCAGTTACAACAATCTGACTGCAGAGAGAGACCAGTTACATACCAGTTACAACAATCTGACTAAAGAGAGATACCAGTTACATACCAGTTACAACAATCTGACTGCAGAGAGAGACCAGTTACAGACCAGTTACAACAATCTGACTGCAGAGAGAGACCAGTTAAAGACCAGTTACAACAATCTGACTGCAGAGAGAGACCAGTTACAGACCAGTTACAACAATCTGATTAAAGAGAGATACCAGTTACATACCAGTTATGACAATCTGACTGCAGAGAGAGACCAGTTACAGACCAGTTACAACAATCTGACTGCAGAGAGAGACCAGTTAAAGACCAGTTACAACAATATGACTGCAGAGAGAGACCAGTTACAGACCAGTTACAACAATCTGATTAAAGAGAGATACCAGTTACAGACCAGTTACAACAATCTGACTGCAGAGAGAGACCAGTTACAGACCAGTTACAACAATCTGACTGCAGAGAGAGACCAGTTAAAGACCAGTTACAACAATCTGACTGCAGAGAGAGACCAGTTACAGACAAGTTACAACAATCTGACTAAAGAGAGATACCAGTTACAGACCAGGTACAACAATCTGACTGCAGAGAGAGACCAGTTAAAGACCAGTTACAACAATCTGACTGCAGAGAGAGACCAGTTACATACCAGTTACAACAATCTGACTAAAGAGAGATACCAGTTACATACCAGTTACAACAATCTGACTGCAGAGAGAGACCAGTTACAGACCAGTTACAACAATCTGACTGCAGAGAGAGACCAGTTAAAGACCAGTTACAACAATCTGACTGCAGAGAGAGACCAGTTACAGACCAGTTACAACAATCTGATTAAAGAGAGATACCAGTTACATACTAGTTATGACAATCTGACTGCAGAGAGAGACCAGTTACAGACCAGTTACAACAATCTGACTGCAGAGAGAGACCAGTTAAAGACCAGTTACAACAATATGACTGCAGAGAGAGACCAGTTACAGACCAGTTACAACAATCTGATTAAAGAGAGATACCAGTTACAGACCAGTTACAACAATCTGACTGCAGAGAGAGACCAGTTACAGACCAGTTACAACAATCTGACTGCAGAGAGAGACCAGTTACAGACCAGATACAACAATCTGACTGCAGAGAGATACCAGTTACAGACCAGTTACTACAATCTGACTGCAGAGAGAGACCAGTTACAGACCAGTTACAACAATCTGACTGCAGAGAGAGACCAGTTACAGAGGGAGATAGACATGTTTCGGAATTTAACTTGTGGTCAGTGAGCAGCTATTTATTTACTTTCTCCACTATATATTGAATTTCTCATTAAGATCTAGTCCAGTGAATCGTGGTTTATAACATGTGTTATTATTATTAATATTATTAATATTATTAATATTATTAATATATTTAATATTATTAATATTATTATTATTATTAGTGGTAGTAGTAGAGTATTGTTACTATTATTATTATTATTATTATTATTACTGATGTTATTTGTATTATTGCTATTATTATTATTGATGTTATTTTTCATTATTATTCTTATTATTTATGTTATTATTCTTGTTATTGTTATTATTATTATTATTATTATTATTATTATTATTTTGTTTTGTTGTGTTGTGAAACAGAGAGAAGTGGTTGTCCTGATGGATGGACGAAGTTTAACTGCAGCTGTTACTCCTGGGAGGAGAGCAGACAGGACATGCTGAGTATAGGAGCAGACCTGGTGATCATGAAAAGCAGAGAGGAACAGGTGAGATGCTCTGTTGCAGGTCCATTTTTGGAATGTTGTTTGTTTCAGTGTCTGAATATTGTTAGTACATTGACTATATTCCAGAAAGATTAATAAAAATCACTTTCCTAATCTAATTCAATCTATTAGTGGTTGGATTAATTGCACCTGTTGTTGATATGCTTGTTGTAAAATGGGTGTACCTCAAATCACTCAGGTCAAAACACAAAAAATGTGTTTCCAAACACCAGCAAGAAAGTTATAATACCAGATCTATACCAGATCATAGCTAGATCTAGCTAGTTAGCTAGTTAGCTAGCTACAGGAGGAATTAAAATTATTAAACTTTCTTTACAGCACATCACACAATACATTATCTTTCACATACGCTTTAAAAGCAATTAAGTTTTCATCTTAAAACACGTTGTTTAACTAATTCTAACTAACTAACGTTATCACATTGTTTAACTCATTCTAACTAGCTAACGTTACTAGCTATACATGTTGTTGGTTTGCCATGAGCAGATCATCTCAGTTCTAATGTGTTGTTGTGTTAGTAAGTTTCACTCTTCTTCCAATTTATGATTCGCCGACACAAGCGCTCTCAATACCTTTTCATTGGATCTGCAAACTGTCCATTTGTGTCAGCGAATCATATCGCTACAATTTCATGGACATTTTGGAGATCCAATGAAAATGTATTGAGATTCGCTGAAATTTGAAGTAGGATTATACATACTAACACAACAACACATATTCTCATTGTTAGCCTATGCAGGGTTCCCAGAAATTACTAACATCTGGATGTGGGAACTTCGCACAGGCGTTTCTTTTTACGCCTGCTAAGTTATATTAGATGTATTCGGAAAGTATTCAGACCCCATTACTTTTTCCACATTCTGTTATGTTACAGCCTTATTGTAAAATATATTAAAATGTTATATTTCCTTCATCAATCTACACACAATACCCCATAACAACAAAGCAAAAACCGTTTTTTTGAAATGTTTGATAAAAATAAAAAAGTATTCAAACCCTTTACTCAGTCCTTTGTTGAAGCACCTTTGGCAGCGATTACAGCCCCAAGTCTTCTTGGGTATAACACTACAAAGCTGTATTTTGGGAGTTTCTCCCATTCTTCTCTGCAGATCCTCTCAAGCTCTGTCAGGTTGGATGGGGAGCATCGCTGCACAGCTATTTTCAGGTCTCTCCAGAGATGTTCCATCGGGTCCAAGTCCGGGCTCTGGCTGGGACACTCAAGGACATTCAGAGACTTGTCCCGAAGCCACTCATGCGTTGTCTTGGCTGTGTGCTTAGGGTTGTTGTCCTGTTGGAAGGTGAACCTTCGCCCCAGTCTGAGGTCCTGAGCGCCCTGGCACAGGTTTTCATCAAGGATCTCTCTGTACTTTGCTCTGTTCATCTTTCCCTCAATTCTGACTAGTCTCCCAGTCCCTGCCCCTGAAAAACATAGCCACAGCATGATGCTGCCACCACCATGCTTCACCGTAGGCATGGTGCCAGGTTTCCTCCAGATGTGACACTTGGCATTCAGGCCAAAAAGTTAAATCTTGGTTTCATCAGACCAGAGAATCTTGTTTCTTATGATCTGAGAGTCCATTATATGCCTTTAAGCAAACTCCAAGCGGGCTGTCATGTGCCTTTTACTGAGGAGTGTCTTCCATCTGGCCACTCTACCATAAAGGCCTGAATGGTGGAGTGCTGCAGAGATGGTTGTTCTTCTGGAAGGTTCTCCCATCTCCACAGAGGAACTCTGGAGCTCTGTCAGAGTGACCATCGGGTTCATGCTCACCTCCCTGACCAAAGCCCTTCTCAGTTTGGCCGGGTGGCCAGCTCTAGGAAGAGTCTTGGTGTTTCCAAACTTCCTCCATTTAAGAATGATGGAGGCCACAGCTTTCTTGGGGACCTTCATTGCTGCAGACATTTTTCGGGACCCTTCCACAAATCTGTGCATCGACACAATCCTGTCTCGGAGCTCTACGGACAACTCCTTCGAACTCATGGCTTGGTTTTGGATATGACTTGCGCTGTCAACTGTGGGACCATATATAGACAGGTGTGTGCCTTTCCAAATTATGTCCAATCAATTGAATTTACCACAGGTGGACTCCAATCAAGTTGTAGAAACATCTCAAGGATGACCAATGGAAACAGGATGCACCTGAGCTCAGTTTCGATTCTCATAGCAAAGGGTCTGAATACTTACAGTACCAGCCAAAAGTCTGGAAACACCTACTCATTCAAGGGTTTTTCTTTATTTTCACTATTTTCTACATTGTAGAAAAAATTATAAAACTATGAAATAACACACATGGAATCATGGAATCATGGGCGGCAGGTAGCTTAGTGGTTAAGAGCGTTGTGCCAGTAACCGAAAGGTCGCTGGTTCTAATCCCCAAGCCGACTAGGTGAAAAATCTGTCGATGTGCCCTTGAGCAAGGCACTTAACCCTAATTGCTCCTGTAAGTCGCTCTGGATAAGAGCGTCTGCTAAATGACCAATTTATTTTTATTTATGTAGTAACCAAGTGTTAAAAATTAAAATATATTTTATTTCTGAAATTCTTCAAATAGCCACCCTTTGCCTTGATGACAGCTTTGCACACTCTTGGCATTCTCTCAACCAGCTTCACCTGGAATGCTTTTCCAACAGTCTTGAAGGAGTTCCCACATATGCTGAGCACTTGTTGGCTGCTTTTCCCTCACTCTGCCGTCCGACTCATCTCAAACCATCTCAATTGGGTTGAGGTAGGGGGATTGTGGAGGCCAGGTCATCTGATGCAGCACTCCATCACTCTCCATCTTGGTAAAATAGCCTTTACACTGCCTGGAGGTGTGTTGGGTCATTGTCCTGTTGAAAAACAAACGATAGTGGGACACTAAGCCCAAACCAGATGAGATGGCGTATCGCTGCAGAATGCTGTGGTAGCCATGCTGGTTAAGTGTGCCTTGAATTCTAAATAAATCACAGACAGTGTCACCAGCAAAGCACCGCCACACCATAACACCTCATCCTCCATGCTTTACGGTGGGAACTACACATGCAGAGATCATCACCCACACCTCGTCTCACAAAGGACACATTTCCACCGGTCTAATGTCCATTGCTCGTGTTTCTTGGTCCAAGTAGGTCTCTTCTTAATATTAGGGGTTTCTTTGCAGCAATTCGACCATGAAGGCCTGATTCACATAGTCCCCTCTGAACAGTTGATGTTGAGATGTGTCTGTGACTTGAACTCTATGAAGTATTTATTTGGGCTGCAATTTCTCCCGAGTGGCGCAGTGGTCTAAGGCACTGCATCGCAGTGCTAGCTGTGCCACTAGAAAATGGACTGTCGTTTCTCTTTGCTTATTTGAGCTGTTCTTGCCATAGTATGGACTTGGTCTTTTACCAAATAGGGCTATCTTCTGTATACCCCCCTACCTTGTCACAACACAACTGATTGGCTCAAACGCATTAAGGAAAGAAATTCCACAAATTAAGTTTTAACAAGGAAAACCTATTAATTTAAATGCATTCCAGGTGTAGTATCTAAACAGTTTATGACTTTGCTGACGTTTGCAAATGGTGTGTTAGAGGAAGTTGACTCAGCTTCCGGAAGCATCTGGAAAGCATTACTATAGGGGCCCCCTAAAACAGAGGAAGTCTGTTATGTGAAGGCCAGGGATTGGTCTATTCAAATCACGCCATCTTATGTTACATAGGGCATAGGATATATATACCATGGTTGGAACAAAGGACGGGGAGAAATAATATATTAGTGATTGGGTTGGTTGTTCTCCGGATTTTCTGCAGAAATCTGTAAATTGACGCTGAAATCTTTGATGTAATAAACCATTATAATCAAGGACAGTGTCAGCGGATTTCTTGTCATCACAGCATCTCAGCATCGTTATCTCGACACTACACAGGTGACTACCTCATGAAGCTGTTTGAGAGAATGCCAAGAGTGTGCAAAGCTGTCATCAAGGCAAAGGGTGGATATTTGAAGAATCTCAATTTGTTTAACACTTTTTTGGCTACTACATGATTCCACCCTTTCAAAACTATGTTATTTCATAGTTTTGATGTCTTCACTATTATTCTACAATGTAAAAAATATTAAAAATAAAGAAAAACCCTTGAATGAGTAGCTGTTTCCAAACTTTTGACTGGTAGTATTTCTGTTTTTTGTTTTTAAAACATTTGCAAAAATGTCTAAAAACCTGTTTTTGTTTCGTCATTATGGGGTATTGTGTATAGAGTGATGAGTAAAACAATTAATTTAATCAATTTTAGAATAAGGCTGTAATGTAACAAAATGTGGAAAAAGGGAAGGTATCTGAATACTTTCTGAATTACACTGTACATGGGTAATAGCTTGTTAGAATGAGTTAAACAACATATATTGAGATGAAAAAGTAATTGCGTTTCAAATGTATGTGAAAGATAATGTATTGTGTGATTTGCTGCTGTGGTATCAAAATAACGATGCTGATTATGCTGTGATGACAAGAAATCCGTTGACACTGTCCT